GAAAAGATGGAATCATCAGACTTGTGAAACTGCGAACTGAAAAGGGAAACATATTAAGACCAATCCAACGACTGTACCCTTTGGAATTGACCCCAAATTACGAGCAAGTCGTATCGGAACCTCAGAAGGTTCCGGAAGTGGTAGCTGAAAATCCTGAGCTTAATACTGACTCTAATGAAACTGTTCGCGTGTCTCGCTCAGGACGAAAAATAAAACCAGTTAAAAGACTGGATTTATAAACTTCTAAACAAACTTTTGAACTTTCTGTGTTTGAACTCTAAAATATTGATTTCAATTTGCATTCTAATATTTTGAAATATTTCTATTATTATTATTGTACGTTATTGTTATCTCAAAATTGTATGTATGTATTATCATTATATTACTGTTTTGAGTTTGTATCCCCAAACTCAAGGTGGGGAGAATGTCGCGCCACTATCGAACTCCATGAGAGGTAAGTTTCTCTGTTACGGAATGGCAACGAGAGAGATTGTTGTTCAGAAAAGATGGATGATCGAACTGCGTTGTAACGATCATTTTTGTGGATGTTGCGTATTGTAAAATGAACCTATTACACTGTGCTAAATAGTATTAAAATGCTATATATTAAAAGATCTTTCATCTGATCTAAATTTTAACAAACCGCTCATTATTTTCTCTTAAACTCACAATGTTCACGACAACCAGTGTTCAACGACGCTTCGGCCACTAGTAGGCCCGTGCACTTAATTGGAAAGTGCAATTCATTATGTAAACAGACATGAAGGTGATAATCAGTTGTGCACTGTTTTAAGTAATCAAATGTTATAAATGCACAGCTGTTACATTTCTTATTATTTATTTAGTCATGTTTTTATAACGTAGATCATACGTATGATATAATTATGAATTTACCCAATAACAAAATGTGTACACTCTTTAGTACTCAAATACTCATAAATTATTTTTCAACTGATTATTACATACCCATAATAATTTGCAAAGAACTGATAACTATAGCTGCTGCCAATTACATAATCGTTATCTGAATTAAAAGCAACTTCAAATAAACTTCTTGGCAATGTTCATTTTTGTATTCATACATACATATATATATACACATCTAATAAGTCATATATTTACATACAGATAGAGAGATGCGATGGTTTAGAAGTTGTTAATATATATTTATTAGTATTAATGTAATGAATAAGATTTATATTAATGAATGTATATACAAATGTTTTTCATCATGCATAATAATAAATCCATAAATTTCCAATGTTTCAATATGTAGCATTTACAATAAAAGTATAGTTTCTAATGTATTTATAATCCAAAAAGTATTTCATTAATAACATGAAAATAATAGACAAATTTAATGAGTTTTCTCATTATTACATAAGCTATGCTTTTCTTTTTTTATACATCTTTTATGCTGTTTAAAATGTGTCACTGATTATGCAATTAACAATTTAAAAGATAAGTAATTAGGAGAAAAGCCGCACATATACAAACGGATTTTAAAAAATTATTCAACTTAAATTTAAGAAATAAAATTCTATTATATAAGTGATAATACACGATCTGCACGAAATACGACAAATTTGGCGAACTTTTGGCGACGAACAATTTGTAAACAAATCTGAACTGCAAGAACGTCGTAAAATACTGTCAACTCTGAAATTTCCACGATTATATATTTAATGAATATATAAACATTTAAAAAATGACTCAGGCAGTTGTATTACAACAAAACAGCAATAATTAAATCGGCCTCTATTTCCACCGTCCATCACTTCACAGTGAGAGCCATCGCCATATTGAAAGTTACCCGTGATCCTTCAGAAGCAGAACTTTCGTCTGATTGGTTGAACGTTCGAGGAACACGTCTCCAGCCGGAACATTTTTGGGAAAGTTTTAAAATGTTGCTCATAGCCGGGACACGTTCCTCCTAGCTAGACGAAGCATTTCTCGGAAGCCTGCCGCTTAAAGCCGTGCTACTAGAATCTCGTTTCTCGGAATTGTCCCGGGTAAGCGCGTGCGTCTATAGAAGTGATAGGGCCCTTACGGCACGTTGCTACAGCACAAGAAGCCATATTACATAAAGGATACTTTAAATATAGAATTTAAAGGGAAAACTTACTAAAACTATATATATACACAAATTATTTTAAATATTTGCATTAGTAGAAAACAAATATGTATGATTAAAATTAATTTAGGATATGCGACCTCCAGAAAATCGTCTCGCAACTGAATGAAACTACAGTTTGAAAGGCGCGAAATCAGAGCAGGTGCAACAGAAACACGTCAGATTACTTCTAGTTCACATCCTCCATGAGGCTCGTGTCGGCGAGGAGTCGAACAAAGGAATGACCTAGCCCTTCTATTTATCCCTGCTGCATCTTCACTGTCTTCTTGGCACTGATAACGTCTTATACCACAATGTCCGAAATCCGGATGTCAGATCATTCCAATAATCCTTTAAATCCAGAAAGATGACACTGGCAAAACTGGAGTTTCACTTATTCTTTATACCAGCTAGAAAAGTGCTCAACCTGTCAAGGGCACGAAAATGTGATCCTGGCTAACACCAATAGAATGTCAATTGGCTTCCTAGCCGTTGCTACTCACTAGCCCTACCTAGTGGGATTCCCTAGCCAGCAAGTGTTTGAAAGCAGAAAAGAATATGAATTGGGAGAAGAAGTAACAGAATTCGTTAAAAATCCATTTCTTGACATGAGAAGGTAGTAAAAAATCACGAGTAATGCACAACTGAATGGAAACTTCAATGGGACATTTTATTTTAAAATTATTTTCCAGACTATTATAGAAATCAAAAATATCTGAAAGTATCATGAAGTTTTCTTATGCAATGCATTACTTTTAAGAACCGATTGCTACCCCAAATTTCTAAAAACCAAACCTCATAAAATCCATCGGTTTTTCAATATGATAATAATGCTAGCCACAAAATGCACAATCCTTAAAGCCTTTTTCTGATAAGAACGAAATAATATATTCTAACAGAAGCTATTCCAGATTTAGTTCTATCTTAAAACTTGAATCTTATTTCGAAACGGACCACCAGCGGCCGAGCGGCAAAGTCGCTGAACACTGGCAGTTCGGTCCGATATTCGAATCCAGCGAACATGCATGAGCGTTTTCGTGGTTTTCCTCATGTGTAATGTGTATAAGATCCAGTTCCCCTTAGAAAGTCCTCTATAAAGGGATTTCTTTCCTTAGTCAGATAGCCCTCAAGGCTTTGCTGTAATCACAGATATCAAACCAAACAGACTTATTCTGAAAAATTTTAAAACACTAACCTCAATGACAAATTTTATGGAATTCTTTAGCACATTGAGGAAGCTCAAGAACATCTTCGGAAGTATTAAATTATCCTAATTAACATTTCTTATGAATAGTAGCTTGCAACAACAAAAAAGTGCCGTAATTTCACCTATGTCTTACTTTGTTTATTTCCCGACGCTCTGCCGACTGAGAGGTAATTAGTTTTTAATTTGTACGGATCCATCAGCGGCCGAGTGATAAAATCGCGGAACACCAGGTTTCTCCCCTCCCCAGACCGACCTTGGGCTGGCGCTTGAATTCCGGCGAACGGATTAGCTGCATAGGCGTTTTCGTGGTTTTCCCCATGTGTAATGTGTATACGAGCCAGTTTCCCTTCAAAATTTCGCCACGAAAGCATCCCTCCCCTTATGCAGATAGCCCTAAAGTGCTTTGCCGTAATCAGATAAAGCAAATCAACTTTGTATGTTAGATGTTGAAAAAATATGTTTATCAGTTTTGGTGACTAAACGCGGTGACTACTTTAACAAGGAAATACCCTCAATTTATTTTTTTCTCAAATTATATCGAGAAAATGAATCTCAAGATTAGACAGTTTCAAATATTAAAATCATTTATTAAATTTCATTTCTATGTTTTTAATAACAGCAGATGTATTTTTTAAAACTGTATTCCGAAATATAATCAGCTATATATTATTGTTGTAAATTTTATATTTGCTCATTTATAATTTAACTCTTCCGAATGTAAACTTAAATTTGTTTTTCATTAACTGTAGATGGAAAATCTTTCTTTAATTATAAACTTCTAATATTAAATTCAAGCTTTCCCATTTAAATGTAGATGAGAAAATTTCATTTAATTATAAACGTCTAATATTAAATTAAAGCTTTCCCTTATTATTATTATGATGATGATGATGGTAAGAAGGTATGCTTAAATGAAGGTTCAAGAGATTCGGATTTCAGAAAATTTACAGTTCATCCCACCTGTAATACAAACATTAAAATTCTTAGAAAGAAAAGAATGCTTTAAGAAAGTTTTACATCTAGTGTATATTTAACCAATATCGAACCTCAGTTTATAGAGACATTAAAATGTTTAGGGAGCAATTAATACTAAATCCAACTATGCCCTTGCCGGGATTCGAACCACTGACCTTCCAACTGCTAGCTGGACAACTGCTAGCTAATCCACTTACTCTACGCGAGCACTCACCCAGTAACGCAATAATTCCCTTTAAGTTTATAAGCCTTTTCATGTAAATTTTCATAAAATCTTCAGTGCTGCTTTGTTTCAAACTAAAACTAAAAGAACTCTGAATAACAATTGAAGGAATGTTTAAAGAATTAACAAATAAAGAAAAAAAAAAAAATCGGATATTACATTCACTACATTTGTGATTTATATAATGTCAGAACTTGATAACAAAATTTCAGTAAAAGTAATAAATGAAAGCATATTCTGAGAATGTTATGCAGGAATTTTCATTTCCATAGGAGATATCTAGATGCTGAATTAGAATAAATAGTTGAAACCTTAAGTATTATAATTTCTGAAATTTCTAATGTTAAGTAACCAATGATTAACATATGTTATTTAATGTTTTGTTGAAGTCAATTATAAATCAATTGATATACCAATAATTATTTTAGCCAAAGATGAGAACTGGAGCACGATAATTCTTTATTTCAAATTTTATAAATTTTAGGGTCAAAAGAACTTAACCAAGTGGTCAACGGGTGCAATAAAAAAAATTTATTTCATCTACTTGCATCAAAATCATCTAAGAAAGTCTACAAGAGTATGTTTGAATACCTTAATGACATAGGAAAAGAAGTGGTAAGTGACATATATTGTTATGAGTTTTGTACACTTGTAAATAATGATAGTGAAATTATACGTAATATGCAATAGCACTTGTATAGGTTGTAAGGAAAGCTTTAGAATGCGAAGCACAGACGGAAAATAAGATTACGGAGTCCATTAAACATTGAGGTAGTTGGCTATCTCGTCAAATTGGCTGGCGCTATCTCCCCAGTTTGCTTTGGTGACTAATTTTTGTCACTAAGTTTAGCGAGGAATCGCCAAAATTCGTCAAGCTCGGTGACTATCTGGTGATATTTTGGTCTGGTCCCTCTGTAACTGCAACTGATCCGATCCTTATGTAGCTGTAACTTTATTCGACCCAATGTAGTTGAAACTGTGTATGCCCTTCAGCAATTTCGAGATCCTGAAACTGCTGGAAATTTATCGGCGAACGGATAAAATCTATATAAAACCGGAGAGACCATCAGTTTTCTGTCAGTTGCAGAGTTTCAATGACACAGAGCGTGAAGAGATTTCAGAGACACAGAGCACTCTTGCCTTCTTATGCGATCCTCTTATTTTCTCCCGTGCTCCTAAAAAGCTGAACGGCCTTAGTGTGACGCCTTTCGTACTGCGACTTATTTCTCTTTTATTTGACTGCTTCTAAACATCCAGCATCGATCGGTTCCTCGACTATATGGGAACTGAAATTACGAACCTTCAGATGATCGAAGAAGATAGAGGCTACCTGACGGAACAAGCATCCCGTAACCTGATGTTCTTCCAGCGACTGATCAAGAATTCCTCAGGGCAAACGCTGAACAGACCAGCACCCCTCAAGATGTTGCTGCTTCTCCCAACAACGAACATTCTGGTGATTTCCCATCACTTCCTTTCAGTAAAGCTAATAGTCGGAGTGCCCAAGGCCCATCAAAATCTGATGAGGATTACCACAAAACATAAAGCTCTTGATGATAGTTCAGACTCGGATAGGAGACAGAAGACCACGTAATAAGCTGATATACCGTCATTGCAACTTTTCAGCATTAGCGCTTATTACGTGGCATTTATTAAAAAATTCCATTGATCCAATTGAATGCATTGGTGAGCATTACATAGAAAAATTACCCGTACATAATTTTTTATACTTAATATACTGTTTTTACATGCAATTACAGTTTTTTTTTTACGTACAATTTTTACAATATTTGGCTAAAATAGGAATGTTTTGTCCAGAAAAATGTGTAATCATATAATTGAAAGTATATAATATGAAGATATGTATCAAAATTGGATATCAAAAGTAAAATAAATCAATTCCAAAAATGTCCAAAGTAAGTATTAAAATCAAATATCTAATATCAAAGTCTTTGGAGAAGTACGTAAAGCTATCGTGATATTGTCTATTAGTCTACTTATAAGGTATTTTCTACCTCCTTTCTGCATTCCATCGTCGTGTAACAACATGTTTGTTTCAATTTTGAAATTTTTATTTTAGTTGTTTTTTTCTGCAGAGTAAAAGTTATTAGTGATACCTGTTATAATTTGCAAGGCACTAGTAGGAGTGGTTCAATATGCTTTTGCAAGGGAGAGTAGAAAATGTCTTTGAACTGAGAGAAGCAGTCTTTTGGCGTGGTTATTGAAGTTAGTGCCCAGGCAGATGCTGCATGTAGAATGATTCTTTCGATAACAGTGAGATACCGTATCTTCTACAGTTGTGGGGATATTCTTCACGTTGATTTAAGGGAAGTAGAGATAATTAATAATTTAATTTTTATAAAATGTATATGTTTGTGTCAAGAAAGACGATTATCTATTATAATTCCAAGATAATTAATGTTATCAACATTAATTTTCTTCTCTGAGATTTTATCATGGGACTTCTAACATTTCTAAGAATAGAACCTGGTTTAGGTAAGTATAGAGCTTTGCCTTTTTGAATAGAGACTGTTAATTGGAAGTTTATTGCCCAGCTTTGAAACATTTGTAAAGAATTATGAGTGTTATTTTCAGTTTCTCTTCGGCCTTTTTCCTCTGACAATAAATAGAAAATCATCTGTATATTCTTGAGCACACGTATCTGGGACGTTTCCAAAGCTTTTTTAATGCTACATTGACAATAAGATTCCGTAGAATAGGTTCCAGACACGAGCCTTTCGAACAGCCTCTTGTTATTTTACAATACTGAACACTTATATTTGAGGTGTATTGTAGATACCTGTTGCATAAGTAATCTTTAATGAGAAAAAATATATCTTGCGGACAACTTGTAAAGTGTCAAATTGCTAGTATGTCTTTCCATGGAATAGAGGCGAATGCCGATTCTTATATCAAATGATACAGTAGAGGTCCACAAATTCGTAATGCTTGGGATGAGAGGCTGTGCGGATTTTAGGATTTTGCGGATTTCAGAACAGAAATGATAAATCATAGTTTTCAGACTAAAAGAGCAAAATAAAAAAGGCATATAAGATATATTTAATTAAATTATTACAATAATATAAATATACATTATTACATTAATTTATTATATGCGCTAAATTATTTTACAGGGATATTTAATAGCATTAAGGACGTATACAATGAAAACAAATATAAAAAAAGGAATTTTAATAAAGCATAAAACATTTAATTTTTTTATATATTTCAAACATTTTTCTGATAGATGTTTGTTTTGAAACTTTAGGATGCTCCAGAGTAAATTTTTTTTGTAAAATAAATAGAGTCATAATTTCTTGTTCTGTGGCACAGCTCTATTGTTCTAAAAATTTTAGGTATTTTCACCGTGTTACAAACCCTCATTAAAAGATATTTTGTTCTATCAAATTCACTATCTGTCGGAATCGTTTTCTTTCTGTAGCGAGATCAAAACAAAGCCAATGATTTCATCATCGGTCATCTGATATGCCAGTGTTGGCTCATCTGAACACATCATCCACTCAAAGATAACTTCTTCTTGCAAAGCCTCCTTACTTATTCTTTCTTTAGAATATAAAAGCAATTCTCTTGCTTTAACCCTTGCTGCACTGACCCTAAAAACAGAAAATTCACTGTCATCACTCTCAGTTTCAATGAACAAAGGAGATGGCCATACATTATGCCAGGCATTTACTGATGTTGTTTGGAAAACAGAATTCTATGATTCAGCTAACATATAAACATAATACAGTTTTTGATGGTGAATTTTTTTATTATCACAAAGTGAAACAGAATGGTCACTTAAAAGAATTTTCTTCAGAAACTCTGATTTATAGCGGTATTTAAGACTGTGTATTATGCACTGATCCATTGGTTGGATTAATGATATAGTATTTGAGGGCAAGAAAAAGAGCCACGACATTATCACATGTTAAAGCGATTACATCTGGATGTGCAGAGCAGTTGCCTAACAACAGTAAAATATTGCAGTTTGATGGTAACCCCACATTGTTACAATGCCCTCTTGCCTCTTTAATGAAATGCTTCGTGAAGCATTCGGTAATAAGTTATTCCGTGAACCAGGGATTTTTATTATTTCTGTAAATCACAGGTAAGGATTTTACTCTTTTCCGAGCTCTGGGATTAGTGCTCTTACACACTACCACTGGTTCACATTTGTAAGTTTCAGCTGCATTGCTGCATACTAAAAAAGTAACTCTTTCTTTAGCTTCTTTCACCCCTCACGTTGCTCTTGCTTCGCTTGTCACAAGTGTCTTCCAATCCAGTCTCGTCCATAATAAAAAACTGTTCTGGGCTAAGATTTCTTCTGTCACTAATACAGAAAGTTCATCAAGAAATTCCTCTGCAGCATCTTTATCTCCTGAAAGTTTCCCCCCACATGCTTTCTAATAACGTAATACCGCGTCTCTGCTTAAATATGTTCATTCAACCATTGCTGAAATCGCACAGCTCCTCTATTTTTAAATCAGCATGAATCTGTTTTCCCTTTTCTCTCAGGAGCGGACTGAAATTGGTACCCCATCGCTCCACCGCTGCAGGAACCACTCGTACAAGACAGCATCGAGCTTTGCCGATTTCACCTCATGCAAAGATTTTCGGTTTCGTATCCCGGTGTTAGAATCACTGTTGCTGTAAAATTTCAACAGCTTTTCTTTATTTTTCCATATATCATTCACGGTCCGTGTCGCAATTTCAGACAATTCTGCTATAAACTGAGGAGCAGTACCTGCCGCCATCTTTTGCAAAATTTCCACTTTTTGCATTACGGTCAATGCAACGTGTTTATGTTTTTCAACGTTGCAAGCAGTGAAATCATGAACGCGTTTCTTATCTGTCGTATTAAAAATCGCTGAAATTTAAAATATCTTTAATTTATTCACAAAATACCCGAATAAAAAACAAAACGGCAGCATCTCGTGAAATAACAAAGCTCAGAAAATATAATATAGTGAATTGTGAACTTGAAAGAAAAGTTGAATGAATCGTCTGCTTTTTACCTATATGCAGATTGAAGGGGAAAAAACTTTTACCATGATGTCAATAATTTGGTATTTCCGGTCAGTAATATTTGCGTTATGACTCATTATTATCCGGTAATTATGATGTCATTATTCGGCAAGTATGTTTTCTTCGGTATTTCGTCCTCCATGTTGTGGTTCCCGAAACCTATAAATTAAGTGTTTATATTTTGGAAGCAACGCGGATTTCAGGAGTTGGCGGGTTTTCGGTATTTTACTGTATTATTAAAGAATGCTGATGGTTGGATCTATTAAATTGTAGAGCTTCTTGCATAGTTTGTAAGGCATGATCAACAGATATGTTTGCTGTAATTTCAGATTGGTTCGCATGAACTATTTTGTTGTAATGAAGATTGAAATTTAGTCTTGAAAGTATTAATTTTTGCAGACGGCGAACGAAAAGGCGGAAGGCGGAAAAAGGCAGAAGAAGACCAATTTAAACCAATAAAAGTGGTGCTGACTTTCCGGACTATCATTAAGAGTCCGAAAAGATTCCTGTAAACTGCCAAGTATCTGTTAATCATCTCATCAAGATTCCTGCCAAGTATCTATCTTTCAACATTAGAGTCAGTTCAGTGCTCAACACTCAGCGATAAAAGAGTCCACGCGTTGGCTCATAAGTATTATCAAAGGAGATCGTGCACTCTAAGCCCTTCGCAACAGCTAGCACAGCAGCGCGTGTGGTATTTGCTTTTCTCCACTTTCTTGTACAAGGACTTCATAGGATTCAATTTCTTCTTCCTAAAGTTTTCAAGAGTCACATGCACCGTCTGTAATGCCATCAAAGATACAATTCTTACCACAATAGCAACGCCCTCAGTCACCTCAGAGGAAATTGTGCAGCCGCCAACCTTAGATTCCTCTTTCTCGAGAGCACAAAATTTCTTGGCTCAGAGCGCTTTCATCAGTAGACATCTAGGAGCTCGCAACGCAAGATATAAATTAAACAAAGACGATCTAAAGATCATCACCGACTTTATCGACCTAGCGCATAACATCTTTCTGGAACAGGAGCTCCTCATTAACTGTCAACAATCCCAACTGGCAATCCTCAGCGGGCAAGCAGAATCAATCAACAAAGTACTCTAAATAATAGAGCTCCCTTCCCAGCAAGCTCCCGGTGCAGCACAGGCTTCCCACTTGATCTCCCCGTCTCCACACCAGGAGGAAGACCTCCCTTTTACTCTTGCTCAACGGAGGAAGATACGACCCAAGCAACAACTTTCGGACAACGTCATCTTAGTAGCAGCGAAAGAGCCAAACACAACACCACAGGCACCTCAGCAGCACCTAGCTTCCCACCTAAATCCGGCAAAGATTGGGATTAAAACCCAACAGGTTCGTCCAGCGCTCACTAAAGAACTCCTCATCAGGTGCCAAACGAAAGAACATCTCAAGAAGATGAAAAAACAATCTCGCAAGATACCAGGCTCAATAAACACCATTTCACAAAGATAACCTAAGCCACAGAAGGAAACAATCATCCTCTTTGGGGTACCAGAAGAACTAACAGAGGGAGATCTCATAACAGCCTACGATTCAAACCTTCCATCTAACCAAGAAGGTTCAATTCAACCAAGAACTTCTCTGCACAGAGCGGACTCAAAAAACAACTGGGTGATTACCCTGAACAAAGACTACGCGCAGAAACTCGGCACATCCGGAAGAATCTTCCTGGGTTTCCACTCCTGTCCTTTCAGAAAGTATATCAGAGTACAACGCTGTCACAACTGCCAAGATATAGGCCACATTAGTAGATTCTGTACAGAGAAACCGGCCTGGCTGCAGTGTGCCGGAACACACGATCAAGCAACAAAAACCTGCCAAGAAGCACCGAACTGTAAGAATTGCTCAGCGTACAATATCAACAAGGGTACTGATTTCGAATGCAGTCATCCAGACGAAATGCGAAAAACATGTCCAGCCTACAAAATGGAGCTTCAGCAACAACTTCGACTCACGTCACAACGCTAAAGTTAACACTCACCACGAGAATACCAGTTCTCAGCTGTATACAATGTAATCTACAAAGATTTACCACTGCCACAGCACACATGTTACATCAGCAGCTAGAGTACAAGATACACATAGGCTTGTATTAAGAGCCACACATCACAAAAGACAACCGCCCCACTGGCTCCACTCCGTATAGCAGAACTTTCCTCTCTAAGAACAATTGGCATAGTCTACAATGGCCCTATAATCCCCAGAAAATGGAGGAGCACCGAGTTCACAGTAGCTCGAGCACACAGTTAGAGACCTTAAAGCTTATACCATAAAACTGGGCTTTCAAAACGAACCCAGCAGAACTTCTCAGTTCCCGGTACTTCTCAGTTTTTGAGTCAAATCCTAACTTAAATCGAAGCCCCAAATAAAACAAGCTTCTTATTTTTATTCAATATTTAAAGTTAACTATTTTTCATAATTTACGGTTTGTTTAATTATAATTTTAAAATTTTATTGTTTTGTTCATTTACTTTCATTTAACCTTCTTGACGGCCTCGCGAGCTCTGGCATGTCTGATATTAGAAATTAAGCTTTGACTTTTCTAAATATTGAGGAAATGTGAAGTATTTTTAGTTAAAATTGGCTATCATTTCTCAATTCTAGGGTCAGGAACAAGCTTTTTATACTTTCGATTTTGCAGATATATTATATAAATTGCAGCTCTGGAGGGAAAAATTGCCTGATGTTCGACCTTATTACGGTAAGAATTTTTACTTTATTAAGGTAATTTGATTTTCTGTTGCTAAGAATTATTTTATATATTTCACATATCAGAAATTTGTTTTAATAAACTTATAAGCAACTGAATACAAGGACCACCACTTGCTAGTTAAATAGATATTGTATTGACTTTCCGAATTAGGTTCATTGTTTACTTTCTAAACAGCCATAATATCAATTACAGATTCACGAAAAGATAACGTAAAGAAATAATTAACATAAAATGTTAAATAAAGCAGAAAATTATCTCTCAGAGTATCATACTTACGTATGTTGTAAGTTGACCTAGTAGGTCGTACCTACTAACTTTAAATAGCTACTGAAACATGGACAATACTTCTAGTAAAGTGGTTGTGGAATAAGCGGTTTACGTGGCTGTGAAGTAAGAGTATGCACATAGACATCCAGTGAAGTTCATAGTACGAACACTGCAGATAGCAACGAACTTTGAAAATAAAGTTGTGTAATGACTTTTACGTCTTATGACTATGATAATAGGCTCAGCTACAACAGGGTGCACTTCTTCCGCTCTATAAAAGGTGGACTCTATGACGAAATGACAGAAAATCAGACTATTTGAAAATGTCTGTTGAATTATAGCCACACTGGTGCTTACTGTTGCACCGTCTTGTTGGAAATAAGTTGATCCTCATAGCTGGCTTGCCCACCAAGCTGGTGATTTCCATTCTTCCAACGCAATGCAGTCTGAAAATGTACGACAGAGTCTATTTGAATAAAAGCTTTCATGGCAGTAATCGTTCAACGGTCGGTGATATACTAATTGATTGATTCTCCATATATGTAGTTATGCTGCACATGCACATGTGTGTTCTAGCAAGGTTGCCAACTGAAAATGACGTCAGCTTGTATAAATCACTATAGTATAAGCACTAAATTTGCAGAGAGCTAAGCAAATTTTTGCGAACATTAAACACAAAGCCACTTAGTGCTTACACTACCTGAAAATAGATTTGTGTATAGCCTATTAACGCCAACGTTTTGTTGGAATCCACATTCCGTACTAATAACATTGCTTGTTTTCGCAAACTTTAATAGGCTCTTAACTTCACTGCTGTGGGCAGAAAGCTATTTTCGATGTCACTACAATCGAGCGGCACTGTAACTGTTGAAACTGTGCCACAGTGGAATGAGAACTGTGTCTCTCAGAAGGAAAGAAAAGAAGAACTTATGAGTTAACTTAGTCGTAAATATCACATTTACGAAGTAAATTTTTATTTTGCGAGATGTTGAAATCAGAAGCTGTTTTTATGCTCCCCCTGTATTAAGAAGATCCTGTATCCGTGATCCTTGTGTAACCCTAATCAAGAAGATAACCAATCCCCCCAAAAATATTTTTATAAAAAATTTTATAATTTAATATCTATAAATAATTTTTAAATAATATGTGACAGTTTTAATTTAACGAAATTGTTTTCATTATATTACAGGGTTATAACACTTTAATCATTTGATAAATTGATTGAATAAATTGTGGTTTAACATTTTTTACTCTATTCCATAAACGATGTTTGTTCACTCTGAAATTTTCTAAAACATACTCACTCTTCATTTGGATTGATATACCGGTAGGTATAAAAGCATGATGTTACTTTAGCAGTTTGTCTTTTACTCTTTCAGCTATGGATTCTTCAAAATTCACCGGAATTTTGAATTCCGAAATAAATGTGACGTTTGATACACAATCAAAAAAATTTCGGAACAAGTTTGGGTATTAAAGTAATTTGTGATATTCAGTGAATCTGCATCAAATACTTGTCATTAAAACACAAATCATTTAAGATTTACTCTTGTCCAACAATCAGTGATTATAAAGACCTAAGGAGCTTCGAATTGCAAAAGTAATATGCTAGACGCTGCTTGATGTGATCACGGGTAATATTACCATTTAGATATTGTTATCGATTTGACGATGTCCCGTCTGTTTGTATACGACAACTAGAAATGCATTGCTTATTGTAATCAACAATTCGATTAATATGATCAAATTATTATAGAATAATTTTTAAAGTAAAATAACATCGCCAAATAAGAGATAAGTTCGCCAGTTAAAGTCAGAAAAAGAATTAAAAATTATTAAGCGACAGAGAAATGTAAGAAAACATAACTAAAAAAATAAGACCAACACACAAAAAAAAATTAATAAACCATACTGACATAAATCTACAACTATTCTTTCATCTCTGCCGATCACTGATAGTTGTTAACATTTGTAGAGTTAAAATCTGTGATTTTTGTTCCTAAAAATTTGTTTATGTTTGTAAAATTAAAAATTATAACAATATAATAAATAATAAAACATAAAATCTAATAGATCATCTGTCTCAAAACTTTTGCTTATGTTTGTAAAATTAAAAATTGCAGCAATCTAATAAATAATAAAACATAAAAGCTAATAAATCATCTGTGTCAAAACGTTTGCTTATATTCTTAATCCAATTGTTATCTTTAAGTTATTCATAAGCAATTATTTGCACAATGATTATGTTTAATTTAGAGAAAAATGTAAAGAGGTCGATGAAGGAAACAATTCTTTAAAAGGGTTGGGAATCTCTGCATTAATCGAATTTCTCTCACTTGAAATGGCACTTAATCTCGTTATAATGTAATTCTGTCCATCTTGTGTATTTCTAACATACTAAAGAAATGTTTGAATTGTTTTCTTATAGCTTTCACTTTCTAAACATATTTCGTAAATGTCTTTTTAAACGTCTTTCATAAACATACGCTATCGTTCTCATAGCTGTGAAAGTGAATTCGGATCCTGTGCTCCTAAGACTATTCGTTCTCGTGGGATTATCCTTTGATTGTGCTACGGAGGTAACTATCTATTCTATTTTGATAACTTTTGTAATAATTTTGAAATCGAATTTTCAGTTTATTAATCAATCAATGATTGAAATATGTACAGTATTTACTCGCGTATTTTCCCCTTAGCATTTTAGCACAAAGTTTTGAAATTTGTAACTACAATGGGTACCACTTAATTAAATCACTGCTTTATAAAATCAACCGCTTATTAAAATAAAAGCCCAATGAAAGAACGCAAATGAATACAGTATCATTAAAAAAATAACCGCTTAATAAAATTAACGCTACCGCTTATAAAAATCAAATCCCTTTTAAAATTGTAAAATCAAATCGCCAAGTTTGTGTTTCAAGTCACACAAGTTGTGTTTCGATTTTGGTCAAACTCGATTTCCTTTCGCACGCAGAGGTGCAAATGCTAGAATTTTCTTACCTGGAATTGTGAAAACCTCCATGTTTGTGTTTCATTTCATTCAAAGTCAATTCCCTTTTACACGTGCAACTGGAAAGGATAGAATTTTCCGATCTTGACCAATCATGGGTAGGAGGTGAGTGACAAGAGGTTTGCCAGAACTGGTTCCATGGAGGTAGGAAGTAAGATGGAGTCGCCCTAAACAAGTTTCTCTCGTACCCTGCTCTGAAGCACCGGCGATCCCTACGTGGTGACCAAAACATTGGGTCATTTACCATTGAGTTCTATGGGATTTGACGCGTTCCGATGTAAATATTTTGTAATTACGTTGTAAATATACATATAAATGTATATATTTTCTTTTTCTACAACACTTCAGAGTCCTAAGTATGTGAAAACAACATATTTTTAAACAACATTTCATTCTGAACGGAATTAAATGCTGTACTTTTCACAGGACAGTTTCTCAGAATGGTTTAATTTGAATGAAATATTTTCACAAGTTTTCGTTATTACATTAGAGAAAAAAAATTAAGGTAATTCGATTTTATTCGGTTAAGGTACAAAAATTAAGATCAAAGTTTATTGTATTATTAATATTAAAATTATGCATTATTTCTTTTCTATTTATAGAGCTTCTTCCTAAAATACTTTCTTAAATATGACATGATTTTTTGGCTTCTGAGGCATCTTTTAAATCGAAAAATGTAAGTCAATTTATAATTAATGCTCTATTCGGTTCATTTTAAATTAGAGAATTATTAGGAATTAGCGAAATATTTTAAATAAGTATTTCGCTAATTCCTAATAATTAAGTAGGTATTAAATTGTACTTGACTTTCTCTGAACATTTCTGAAAGGGAATAAAATAAGTTTTTTTTTTTTTTTTTTTTTAAGTATTATTTAAAACTTGTAACTGAGTTATTATAAAATGTAAGGGGAATAATTCTTTTAATTATTACTTATCAGATTTTTTTAACCCCTTCATTTCAACAATACATATTCCAAAAACTCTTTATTACGTTCTTAAGTGCGCATCTCATAGCATTTGCTTTACAATACCTTTTAACAGATTGCTTTCCAATACGAACAATTCTTGCTTATAGTTTTATAACGTATTTGTCAACAGGATTTCAATTTATGTTTACAATTCAGTATTAAGTTTATTATATATTTAGATAACATTTATAATCACTGGATGCATGGAGGTAGGAAAGGGAGGACGGGCCATTCCGCGCTAGAAATGAAGCACTGCTTTGAAGCTTAGGTCACCAGACGGGGTGTTCTTTGTTTACATTCAGAAGCTCGCTTGACAAGATTCTGTCTATTTCGACACACGACAGTTCCATAGAAATCGAAAAAGGGACACTCTCGCATGAAAGAAACATTCATAGTGTGATGGATAATAGCAATTTGTATAGTTTACTGACATTTACGCAAAAATCGCATCTTGGTTATTTTTCGATAACTAACAACAGCGATTTTGATTATGAATTTGTTTTATAAAATTCTAAGCAGTTGCACTACAAAAATATAGATTTTAAGAAAATTGCTAAAAGAGATCTGCCAAAATTTATTTTCTAGAAGATTTGAAAAGTTTGAAACGTGATGGCTAAATGTAAATATAAAATTATGTATGTTCAAATATTTGTAATTAGGCACATAGGTCAGATTAAGTTTTTATTAAATAGAGTAACGCATGCAAGGGCTATCTGCCTAAAGAGAGAGATGCCATCGTGAAAGAATTTTGAAGAAAAACTGACCTTTGAATGCGTATTAAAAATAATACTTATAATTTTCATTCAAATTATATTCATATATATTTTTTATGTAAAACTTTCGGGTGTATCCTAAATTAGTGTAAATTACTTTACACGAAAAATATAGTGAATGCACAGAAATTAAAGATTTGCACATGCCGGAAATGAAAAATAGGAAATATGTATGGGTATTTATGCATGTACTTGCAAAAAGCATGTATCTGCCTTTGACAAAATACTTAAATATTCATTAAATTATTTATAAATGTATTTGAAATGAAGAATTTATTCACTTATAAACAACTGTGAAAAAATCTAATGATTAAATGTATCTAATTTATAATGATTATAAATGTTATCTAAATATATAATAACCTTAATATTGAATTGTAAACATAAATTGAAATCCTGTTGACAAATACGTTATAAAAAACTATTAAGCAAGAATTGTTCGTATTGGAAAGCAATCTGTTAAAAGGTATTGTAAAGCAAATGCTATGAGATGCGCACTTAAGAACGTAATAAAGAGTTTTGGAATATGTATTGTTGAAATGAAGGGTAAAAAAAAAAATAAATCTGATAAGTATAATTAAAAGAATTATTCCCTTTACATTTTATAATAACTCAGTTACAAGTTTTAAATAATACCTAAAAAAAAAAAAAAAAAAAAAAAAAAAAAAAAAAAAAAAAACTTATTTTATTCCCTTTCAGAAATGTTCAGAGAAAGTCAAATACTATTTAATACCGAAATACTTATTTAAAGTATTTCGCTAATTCCTAATAATTCTCTAATTTAAAATGAACCGAATAGAGCATTAATTATAAATTGACTTACATTTTTCGATTTAAAAGAAGCCAAAAAATCATGTCGTATTTAAGAAAGTATTTTAGGAAGAAGCTCTATAAATAGAAAAGAAATAATGCATAATTTTAATATTAATAATACAATAAACTTTGATCTTAATTTTTGTACCTTAACCGAATAAAAATCGAATTACCTTAATTTTTTTTTTCTAATGTAATTAACGAAAATTTGTGAAAATATTTCATTCAAATTAAACCATTCTGAGAAAACTGTCCTGTGAAAAGTATAGCATTTAATTCTTCCGTTCAGAATGAAATGTGTTGTTTAAAAATATGTTGTTGTCACATACTTAGGACTCTGAAGTGTTGTAGAAAAAGAAAATATATACATTATATGTATATTTGCGACGTAATTACAAAATATTTACACCCGAACGCGTCAAATCCCATAAAACTCAATGGTAAATGACCCAATGTTTTGGTCACCACGTAGGGATCGCCGGTGCTTCAGAGCTGGGTACGGAGAAACTTGTTTAGGGCGACTTCATCTTACTTCCTACCTCCATGACTGGTTCAGATGGGGGGCGGGGGGAACATAAGAAAGACGCGAGGAAGAATGTGTTTAAAAACTGTCCTTGTTTTTTATTCATACAATTCACTCACGCACATCGTTCAGTTCACTCACGCACATCGTTCAGTTCACTCACGCACATCGTGCTTTTCCTGTTTTGTCATGCCTCGAAATTTCCAAACACAAGGACTTAACCTTAAAAGATAAAAGAATTTTTTAAGCAATATGATACTTTGCCAAAATGTGAATCCTTTGTAGAACTCAGAATTTCACAATCTGCTTTATGTACGTTATTGTAAAGAATGGAGGCAATATCGGATGAACTGATGGCAAGTGCAAATGTCTCACGTAAGCGAAGGCGAAGTGTAAAGTCTACCGATGTAGAAACTGTTGTCTTGGAGTGGTTTCGAAATGTCAGGAACAAGAACGCTACGATGTCGCGAGAAATCCTATGTAAAAAAAGTACAGAATCCACCATAATGCTCGTAGAGGACTTTGTCTTTAACGCTGGATTGCTTACGAAATGAAAAGAAAGAAACAGTATCGTTTTCTGAAAATTACATTTAGAGAAACAAGGTGTAGACTGTAATGAAACCGATAATCGGATAGGAAAAAAATTTGCCGTACTTTTGCAAGAATACAAATCGAATCAAATTTCTAACACTGATAAGACTGCTCTTTATTATCCAGCCCTACCTCAGATCATACATTATGTTTAAAAATGGGTCGTCATCTGGCTGTAAAAAATGTAACAACGTGTTACTGAGTTATTAACGTGTAATATGGACGGAACAGTTAAAAAGACTCCATTAGTCATCTGTTCGACCGAAACCCTTGTTGTCTGAAGGACGTCAAGCATTTGTTTGTAACTTATTACAACAATGAATGCTTTGTTGACAAGCAGTATTTCTAATCATTTTGTTATGAAATGGGATAAAGAACTTCAGCAAGAAAAAGTGACGCTCTTGTTAGATTACTACGTTGCCCATCCAACTGGTCTCTCGCTGAAAAGTATAAAATTAGTTTTCCCTTCTCCTAATAGAACTTTCATTCTTCAGCCGTTAGATCAGGGTGTTATAAAATCTACCATTCAGCCATTAAATCAAAGGGTTATAAAATGTGCCTTCAGCCATTAGATCAGGGTGTACTAAAATGTAACATTCAGCCATTAGATCAGGGTTTTATAAAAGCATTCAAGCGTCTTTACAGGAAGGAAGTAGTTCGAAATGTTATTAATGAAACTGAGATGACTGATGCAGTTTGTTTTTCTAAGGAAACTGCTAAGTCAATTTCTTTCGTACATGCTATGCATGTTATTTAAAATGCGTGGGATGAAGTAACTTCGCAAACGATGTCAAATTGTTTTTAAAAGCCGGCTTTCATCCAAAGCAAATTTCTGGAAACTCTCAAGATGTGTCAGAAGACAAGGGTGACGACGAGGATATGCATGATGAGACCCTCCTTT